GGCACCTGCACTTTCATATTGGATTCTTCAAGAGTGAGACAGCTGTCAAGATCCAGTGACTTGCATCACTGTTCTCAGGCACTAGGGCCACCTGTGTCCTACTTTCAGTGGTCAGCTTCTCTGAACCTGCAAATTTATATCACTTTGGTAATGACCTATTCAGCTGGCTGTGTGGCCTTGGGAAAATTACTAACTTCTCTGAATTACATTAACTCATCTGCAGAATGGAAATAACCTCCTTCATTGAGTTATTGTGAAGCTTAGATGGGATTATTCATGCACAGCCACAAGCACTAGGCCTGGCAGATAGTCAAGATGCAATTAATATTAGGTATTTTCATCATCATCATCATTTTTTTTGTAATCTGTAATCAAATCACTTTTTTTTTTTTTGGAGACAGAGTCTTGCTCTGTTGCCCCAGGTAGAGTACAATGGTATGATCATAGCTCACTGCAACCTCAAACCCCTGGGCTCAAGCAGTCCTCCTGCCTTAGCTTCCTCAGTAGCTGGTAATACAGGCACCCACCACCACACCCAGCTAATTTTTTCTATTTTTGGTAGAGATTGGGTCTTACTCTTGTTCAGGCTGGTCTCAAACTCCTGAGCTCAAGTGATCCTCCCACCTCAGCCTCCCAGAGTGCTAGGATTACAGGTATGAGCCACCATGCCCGGCCCACTTATTTAAGAACTATTTATCGAGCACCTACTATGTGCCAGGCACATTGTCCTCAATCCTGGGAGTAGAGCAGTTGAAAGAGTCAGATAAGGTTCCTGCCTTCAAGGGGCTTATATTCTGGCACAAAGGTACTGCACCTTTCTGTTCCATAAGCACTTTCACCCCCATTGTGTCATGTGGTCCTCACTAAAGCAGTATGATTGTCCTCATTGTACAGATAAAACACTGAGGCTTAAAGAGTTAAGCTAATGGAGATGACTATTAACAGAAACTGACCAGGTATAATTTGCTCTGGGTTCTTCCTGACTCCAGTTTCAGTGCTCTCTCATGATAGATACTGATGATGGCTTTAGGGTGCAGAGGTGGTGGGCCTGGAAGGAGCTCCCAGAGCCCTGAGAACCCTAACCCTCCAACTGGAGCACAAAAGAGTCAGGAACTGCCCTTGGTGTGCCTCTCAGAGTCCCAGTTAGTTCTGTCCATAAAGTCTGTCAATCAACTGGGCCTAACACCACGTTCCTCTGCCTGGTGTCAGCCTTGGGGGCCTGGAGGAGACTTTATCTTAAGGAAAAAGTGTTTGCCCCTGGCCATGACAGCAGGCAGGTCAGCTGTCTGAGAGTGCTTCCCTCTGGGCTCCCCACAGAGCAGGAGAGAGGATAAGGATGGCTAGGCCTGTAGGCTCAGTGACCCAACTGCATGGGCTTCGGTTTCATCTTCAGTTGGACCTTGCACAACCTGCGTCTGCTCATTTGTTATTCATCTAGTTGTTTATCTATTTGCTTATAATATAGTAAACCCACTGCAAATTCTTCCCTTATGTTCTTCCCTTCCCATTACTCTGTGTCCCCACCCCATCCTAAATCTTGAGTTTATCATTCCTTTTCATTTCTAAAAAATAGTTTTATTTCATATATTTTTCTAAAAGGCATATTATTTAGACTTACTGTTTTTCCTTGCTTAAGAGAATATCCCAGTGTATGTTGCTTTCTGAGGTGTAATTTTTTTCTCGTATAGTTATGTGCTAAAATTCATCCATACTGTAGCATATAGCTATGATTCCATCATTCTCTCTCTGTCTATATATATACATACATATATATACATACATACATATATATATATTTTTTTTTTTTTTTTTTGAGACAGAGTCTCACTCTGTTGCCCTGCTAGAGTGCCGTGGCATCAGCCTAGCTCACAGCAACCTCAAACTCCTGGGCTCAAGCAATCCTTCTGCCTCAGCCTCCACAGTAGCTGGGACTACAGGCATGCGCCACCATGCCTGGCTATTTTTTCTATATATTTTTAATTGGCCAATTAATTTCTTTCTATTTTTAGTAGAGAGGGTGTCTTGCTCTTGCTCAGGCTGGTTTCAAACTCCTGACCTTGAGCAGTCCACCTGCCTTGGCCTCCCAAAGTGCTAGGATTACAGGCGTGAGCCACCTCGCCTGGCCTCCATGACTATATTATAGTCCCCTCTATTGTGTTCCACATGTACTTGTTTAATCTCCTGTTAATGGACATTTGAGTTGTTACCAGGTTTCCACTACTTTGAACATAGCTGAACATTCTTGTATATGTCTTTAGGTAAACAATGTGAATTTACCAATGTACACTCCCACTAACAACAAATATATAAAGATCCTATTGATCCATATCCTCTCTGACTCTTGGTATTATCAGACTTCTTCATTTTTTCCAACTGAAAGGGTACTAAGTGGTATCTCATGTGGTCTCTTCATGTTCCTTGACTTTCCAGATAATGGCTGATAGTGTTCGGTGGTGCAATGAGGATCACCCTGCAAGGGGACCGTGAGGATTTAGTGACACACAGTATGCTTGCAAAGCCCCTCCCAATTGGGACCATTGTCTTATTCCACTCTGGATCCCCAGTACCCAACACAGTGCCTGATACCTCATCATTATCTTCATTGGCATCATCATAACAATAACAATATAAGAATAATTATAGATAACATTTATTGGCTGCTTATTAATTGCCAGATGCTATGTTAACTAACACCTTTACTTTTATTATCTCAATTAATCATTCCAGAAACACTAAAAGGTAGGTTCCATATTACTGTCATTTTATAGCTAGGAAACCGAAACTAAGTATCTTTCCTGGAATCACACAACTATAAGCGATAGAGCCAGGATCTGAACTCTGGCATGTGACATCTAAGTCCTTAACCTCTATATTATAGTTGCTCAATAAATTATTGAATGAAGTACCCTTACCTATTGCTTTGGTCTGTTTTCTGTTGCTCATAACACAATGCCTGAAACTGGGTAATTTATAAAGAAAAGAAATTTATTTCTTATAGATATGGAGGCTGAGAAGTCCCAGGTCGAGGGTCTATCTCTGGTGAGTCTTCTTGCTAGTGCTACTCTGAAGAGTACTGAGGAGGCCCAGGGCATTAAACGGTGAGGGAGCTGCATGTGCTAACCTGCTAGCTCAGGTCTCTCTTCCTTTTCTTATAAAGCCACCAGTTCCCCTACCATGATAGCCCATTACATCTATTCCCATGGATGGATTAATTCATTCATAAGGGCAGAGTCCTTGTGATCCAATCATCTCTTCAAGGCCCCAGCTCTCAATACTGCCACATTAGGGATTAAAGTCCAACATGAGTTTTGGAGAGGACAAATATTTAAACCATAGTACCTACCCACAGCCAGAGGGTCACATGGCATGGCACTTTTACTTTTTATCTCCTATCAAATATGTTCAGATTGCACCCACATTTTTATTATAAACAAAGCTTAAGGATTTTTATAATTTTACTCTAGTCAAATGTAAGTGATCTATTTTATGATTGGTTATAATTTCTCTGTAATCATTATATAGACTTGAGAATATTCACGATGAGAGAGATCTAACCTACATATTGTTCTCAAATGTCATGATATGTTTACCAAGTCTTCCTTTACCAACAATTCCCCTAACCCTGCTCTGTTTTTTCTCTTATTAATCATACGTACTATCTCTAACATACTGTATAATTTACCTATTATTGCATCTAGTATTTATTTATTTATTTATTTTTGAGACAGGGTCTCTCTCTGTCACCCCAACTAGAATGCAGTGGCATCATCAGAGCTCCAAGCAACCTCAAATTCCTAGGCTCAAGCCATCCTCCTACTTCAGCCTCCCAAGTAGCTGGGACTATAGGTGCACACCACCACGCCCAGCTTATTTTTTCTCTTTTCAGTAAGGATGGGGTCTTGCTCTTGCTCAGGCTGGTCTCGAACTCCTGACCTCAAGGGATCCTCCCACATCAGCCTCTCAGAGTGCTGGGATTACAGGCAGGAGCCACCATGCCCTGCCTATTGCCTCTATTGTTGACCCACAGGGGCAGGAATATTTGTTGCTTAGTTCTGTCTGTGTCTTTAATTAGTTTATCATTTGTATATCCCTGGTGCCTATAACTGTGCCTGGCACAGAGAAGCAGCTCAACAAGTACTCGTTGAATGAATGAATGAAATAAATGTATGTTTGCAGGAATGAATGGATGGATGGAGTGAATGAATCAATGAATACTAAGTTAAACAGTTCATGAAAATTGACTATATTATTTTGATTTTGTGGTTTTCTTGTTTATTTGGGGGCCAACTATTTTTTCAGGTTTCAAACATTTCTGTAGGCCGGTAGAAAAGTTGGGAGGCCTGCGATTTCGCGTCTGTAATGCCCAAGGGACCCAACAGTCCTGACCTGAAGACCCAAAACAATGTTGTGTTGCCTTTTCCTTTCTCTCTTGTAAACCAGCAACATCAACAAGAGCAGCCTGCCTCAAGTGGGACTCTGGCAATGAGGCAGGAGGCATTAGAAACCAAACCCAAAACTCCTGGCAGCTTTCATAGAGCAATTTTTCTAGCAATCTACATTGGTGTCCAGGCCCAGCACACCCCATTACATATGCAAAACGTCTGACATTTGTGCTGCAGGCTCTTAACCCCTAGCTGTTATTCTTATTTCCAAACTAGGGTGCACTAGATAAATGCAGAAATCAGGAACCGTCGCTCCTTAGTCAAACGTCGGTGGCTCAGTTCTCCGAGCTGGGCCAAAGAGTAATTATAGCTTCCCTCTATGGTGTGCAGGGCAGGAGGCTGATTTAATAAAGGAAGCCTGCTGTCTGTCTCCAGTCCGGCTCTGACTCATGGAACGAGGGAGTCCCAGAGCGCTACCCACAGAGGGTGGTGAGCAGCGAGGGGCGGGAGGCGAGGTGGCCGGCGAGCAAGGCCTGGCCCGAGAGCCCCAGAACGAGGAAACTCCCTGCTTGGCCAGGAGGAACCTGCAGCTGGAGCCAGAGGAAGTGAGGCTCAGACAGCAGCTGCCGGTCCAGCCACAGCAGCGACTGCCGCACCCTTGAAAGGAGGCCTCTGCCGTGCGGACGCGTAAAATAAAATGGGTTAGTAATTTTCATATTCAGAACTAACTGGGGGAAGCGATCCAACTGCCTCCAATGGGGATGGCTGCCTTTGTGCGAAGTGCCGGTGTCTTCGCTCCCTTCGGGGGGCCTGGGCCGACGAAGTCTGGAGCGAGGGGCGTCCTCTCCACTTGCTCGCCCACTTGGGCAGGGGCCGCGGGTGAGGTCTCGGCGCCGCGAGACGGCGCGAGCTGGGAGTGGCTGCAGCTGCGCGGAGGGTGACCGCCCGCGCGGGGCGCACCTGGGTTCCGCTGCAGAGAGGTCACCGGAGGTCACCCGATCTCGCCCTCGGCCTCCCGCAGCTCCTCCGTGCCGCCCCGCCTGCCAGCCGGCCGGCCCGCGGCGACGTGCCCTCCCCCTGCAGGCCCCGCGGGGCAGGCGCTCCCGGCCCCGCCCCTGCCCACCCCTGCCCTTCCCGCTGAGTCACACACCTCGCGGTCAGGTGATCCTCCCCGGGGCCTCCGAGAGCACCTTGACCTACATTCCGCGCGCGGCGTGACTGCGCGCTCCCACCGACCCGCGAGAGGCGGGCGCGGCGCCCTGGCGGCCCCGGCTGCAGGCGGGCGCCCGGGAAGGGGGTGCCCCGCAAGTGGGAGTCTGGAGGCCGCGGGCGCGGGCCGCCCCCCAGCCCGGCCGGGCGCGCGGGCTGCGGCGGAGAGAGGGGCGGCCGGGCGTCGCTGGGCCCGCGCTGCCGCCGCCCGCGGAGCTCTGCCGGCGCCGGGGAGGCCCCAGCGCTCACTCGGAGCGTGCGGGCCGGGAAAACTTCCCCCCGCGCAGGGAGCAGATTGCCATCCCCAAATTGTCCACAAAATGGCCTCTCCTGATTTTGTCTAGGGCTCTTTGTGCCGCTGCGGCCTTTGTGTCCTCTGGGGGCGCGGGTGGGAGGGAAGTGTCCCAGCCAGACTTGAGGAAGCCCGGTCCTCGGGTGCCCAGCCTGTGAAAAGCCGTTAGCGGAAGATCACCGTTTCTTTTGCATTTGACTCTGAATTTAGAGGCATTCTTTATGGCCTGGCTTGACCAGTTAGTAGCTCTGTGCCCCTGGCAGGTCACTTACAGGCCTCAGTCTCCAATCTGGAATATGGGGATTTTAATAAAACCCTACTACTACTGCATCAGACGGTGTGAACTTGGAATCAGGTGATATGCATGAAATACGTAATTATGCACAACTCTATAACATTTTCTCTAAGCGGTTAAATCACTTCCCTTTCCCCATCTGAGAAGATTATTTTGTTTGTTCAATGTACTACTAGTGGAAGAGCCTACCTCTGGGTGTGTTTACAAGTATAAATAGAAAACTGTGGCCTCTGGCTACATGAGTTGCCGCAGCCCCACATAACTTGTTTACACTTCACCCACAGGTTTGGTGTACATCGTTTTGTTCTTTTATAGTAAGAAAAGCTATGTGTTTATCATGACTTAGACAAAAGTGTGATAAACACAAGTTTTTAATCAGGATGTAAACTTGAGAAGTTACTGCCTGGTACACAAAGGGTGCGAAACGGTAGGCCAGGTGAAAGTTAGATAAATGGAGGGAAAGAGGAAGAGAAGAAGGAAAGAAATTGGGCAACTATGTGAGCAGAGCTGGATTTACCAGGAAGCTAATAATGCGTCAACTTCAGGGCCTTTTACTTGCATGTGTGCCTTTCAAGGCCTTGGACCTAATTTTTAACTCATAATTATGTATTCCTTTCCTAAAGAGAGTCCCCAGTATGTATACACATGAGGCCCCACCAAACCTGGATCTGCCCCTTTATGGGAGTCTTTGAGAGACCCAACCCTTTGTTCTTGTTTAAGATTCTTCTTTTTAAAAAGACAAGATATCACTCTGTCATCTAGGCTGGAGTGCAGTAGCCCAATCATAGCTCACTATAACCTGGACCTCCTGGGTTAAAGAGATCCTCTCATCTCAGCCACTCAAGTAGCTGGGATTACAGGTGTGAGCCACCCATGCCAGGCCCTTGTTTAAGATTCTTAAGCACAGGCTGGGCGTGGTGGCTCACACCTGTAATCCTAGCACTCTGGGAGGCCGAGGTGGGCGGATTGCTGGAGGTCAAGAGTTTGAAACCAGCCTGAATGAGACCCTGTCTCTACTAAAAATAGAAAGATATTAATTGACCAACCAAAAATATATATACAGAAAATTAGCCGGGCATGGTGGCGCATGCCTGTAGTCCCAGCTACTCAGGAGGCTGAGGCAGGAGGATTGCTCGAGCCCAGGAAATTGAGGTTGCTGTGAGCTAGGCTGATGCCATGGCACTCACTCTAGCCTGGGCAACAAAGTGAGACTCTGTCTCAAAAAACAAACAAACAAAAAGATTCTTAAGCACAAATGAAAACACCAGTAGGTGGGGACTGTAGTATTTCCATATAGTCTCCACCATGAATTCAGAGATCCGCATGTAGGCCAGGCAAGAACAACAGCGTGAGGAATGGGGTGTAGAAAGAGGGTCGGGCAGAATTATTGGGCCAATTCTAGTTGACTTTTGTAATTCACTCTGGTACTTCCAGGGCTCTTAAGTTTCCAGAAGTTTTGAATCTTGGCAATGGAGAAACAGTGGCTTGCAATCTAGAACTCTGTTACTAGTCCTGACTGGTCTTCACTAGTGCTCTCTCACTAACTAGTTGTATAGCCTTGGTGGAGTCACTCACTTCTTTGGGCTTAAATTTCTCTACATATGTGGAGATTTCAGAGTCTTCATGAGGACAGGGATCAAAACTGTCTTGTTTATACTCATTGTTGAATATAATATCTAATTATAATTATTATAGTGGTAACAATAAACTTTTTCAAAGTGCTTATAGACAAAGAAACTGATGTTCAGAGCTGTTACATAAACTCCCAGGGTCACCCAGCTAGTAAGTTGCAGAACCACAGTTAAAGCCCAGTGGTCTAGCTCCAGAGACCCTCATCTTAACCATGACACTCTATACCAGGCGTCCTCAAACCATGGCCCGCAGGCCACATGCAGGTGTTTTTGCCCATTTGTTTTTTTACTTCAAAATAAGATATGTGCAGTGTGCATAGGAATTTGTTCATAGTTTTTTTTTTAAACTATAGTCCGGCCCTCCAGTGGTCTGAGGGACAGTGAACTGGCCCCCTGTTTAAAAAGTTTGAGGACCCCTGTTCTATACTATACCCACAATAAACATGGTAGTTATGAACAATTTCATTTATTTATTTACTTTTAGATAGGTTCTCACCCTGTCACCCTGGGGTTGAGAGCAGTGGCATCATCACAGCTCACTGCAACCTCAAATAAATGGGCCGGGCTCAACAGATCCTCCTGCCTCAGCCTCCAGAGCAGCTGGAGCTAGAGACACATACCACCACACCTGGCTGAGTTTTCTATTTTTTGTAGAGAAGGGGACTTGCTGTGTTGCTCAGGCTGGTCTCGAACTCCTGGTCTCAAGCAATCCTCCCACCTCAGCCTCCCAAAGTGCTAGGATTACAAACATGAGCCACTGCACCTGGCCAACAGATTTTATTTTTAGAGCAGTTTTAGATTTGCAGAAAAATTGAGCAGAGAGTATAGAGGAGTTTGATGAATGAGCAAATCAATGAATGGAGTGTCACTTGATTGAGACCGTGATTCATTACCCAAGGTACATGGAAAGGGAACTCATCCTTGTGAATTTTCTATGTGCCCAGCATTTTACATGCATTACTTCGCTTAATTCTCATAGCTGTCTTGTTAAACAGGTGACATTAACGCCATTGTGCAGTGACAAAACTAAGGCTCACGAAGGGGACTTTCCTTAGGTCATCCGCCAGCTGATTGCATAGGGCTAGAAAGTCCTGATCTGTCTGATTCTAAAGATCACATTTGCTCTTCTGATTGACAACTTCATAATTATCAAAACGTATTTTTTCTTATATATATCTAACATTGGTCTTTAGTGCCTTTTAGTTTTAAAATGCTTTTGTATCCTTAGTATCTTTTGGTCATCACAACAGCACAGAAGGTGGGTGAGGCAGCTATTATAATTCCATTTTATAGAGGAAGCTATGCAGGCTTAAAAATTAAACACAATATGACAAGGGTTCAGGACTGAAACACAGATAGGTTGACTTCCTACTCCATGCCCCTCTCTTCTCACCAAAGCACCCCTCTGTTATAAACTACCTCATGGCACAGGATTCTTGCTGGGCCTGCACAGAGGAAATGTTTGGTTTGCTATGAGTCCTCAAGGGACTGCTCCTCTTCCCAGAGGTTGACTAGAGGAATTTGTCCAAAATCTAGCCTTTAACTGCCTTTAACTTCTTTCCTAAATGTTTGGAGGAAAAGGGTGAACTTTGACACTTCTTTCCTCCATGTATTTAACCAACACAAAGAGTTGGCCATTTTCAGTTAGAGATGGTCAAGTCTGATTTTGACGGCACAGTCAGAAATTGCATTGGCAGCGCTAAAAATCCATGCATGATGGCAGCAAAGGAGGGATTTCCACTCTGCCCTTGGCTCTCAGGCCAATGGAAGGGTACCTCTGAAGCAAGCAAATTATCTTGGGCACTTCTTCCCTGACAGTCCCTAGTGGGAAGCACCCAACTCATCATCCTAGAGTAGAGGTTCTTTTTAAAATTATTATAATTAATTAATCTTTATATTTTGAAAAAACTTCAAACCTACAGAAATGGTTCAAGAAAGTTACAATGAACTCCCTTCTCTATACCTCCTAGATTAACAAGGATTTAATTGTTAAAATATCATTCATTTCATGTAATTTTTTCTTTAAAATATTAATTTTATTTGTGTTAAGTAGAAATTACATTTGTTTGTTCAAAAATCAAAAGGATACACAGTGAGATGTCTCCCCCAAACCCTGTCCATCATTATCCAGTGCCTTTTCTAGAAGAAGCCAGTAATTTCAGTTTCTTATGTACTCTTTCAGAGATATTTCATATGTATATAAGGAATGTGTGTACATACATATGTATACAAGGAATGTCTGTGAATTCTTGTTTTGCCTTTTTTTTTTCGTGG